ATACTATATATTGTTAGGTAGCGGTGTGTGATTTAGTGAGAGTGAGCTTCATTGCGTTCTCATTTGTTATCGAGAACAAAGCATTGTATTTAACCATTATTGTGAGTATCATTTGTAATACACTTGTACACCGAGAGAAGTGTGAGGCGTGAGACGGGGTCGAATCTAATAGGAGTGGCGTTGGTTGACGAACCTAGGGAAAGGTTGTATCCGAGTACTTGAGGAGGAGGACACGGGCTAGGTTCCTACACTTAGTGTGTAAAGTGTGATTGCAGAGTGTTTGTTGTGTGAGAGTTTTTGGTAAACTTGTAAACCGGGCGTGTAGAAGTTCCGGCTTCCAAACCGGATTGTGATAGTAGAGATCTCCTCGAGCTGAGGAGCGGGGACGTAGGTCGTGGTGACCAAACCTCGTAAACATATCGTGTGTTTGTGTTTTGCTTAGCGTATATTTTTTTGTGCTTATTCATATCATTCTTGTTCATATCCATATCATATAATTCTAGCAAGAACAAACTAATCAATATTATTTTAATTGGTATTTAATCAGGATTAGATTAGCATAAGACCCTAATCACCTCCCTTCTAGGGTTTAACAAAGTACTCCTCATACTTAGCCTAGTCGAACTCGATTACGAGGGACTCAACAGTCGTCCCGTTGCAATTTCATCGAATAACGCCACCACCATTTCGTTGGAAGTAATGGTTTCTCCCGCTGTGGTCTCCATCATTTGTTGGACGTAAAGTTGATCTTAAAGATTTGTATTAATTAAAATCGGATTACAAATTAAAAATCACTTTTACACAGAAGCGAAGAGAGTTGGTTTGATCTCTTCTTGTTTAACATAGGTTTTTGGTAGCGATAGGATGCCTCTCTCGATGCTTGCATCGAGTTTGCTTCTCTTGGACGATTCAATCGAAATTATGGATGAACTTCAGCGCATGGTAGAAGTCATGTTGATTGAGTTCAGATATCCAAGCTTGGAATCAAGACGAATGCTCAAAATAGGCAAAATTCGGTTCTTTTTATTACCCAGAAAGACCGAATGCCAAAGAGATTTCGATCTCAAAAGGCCAAAATGCAAGAGCTTGCAAAGAGCTGAGAATTAGATCTCAAGATTGAGATTAATCCAAGATCATGAGAGCCAAATTCCAAGATCTCCGATGTCAAAATCTCCCCCTCTTCTTTGTAGCCGAATGTGGCTTTTTATAGAGAGCATCGGTTGTAACCAACCCCTTGGATTGTGGGAAGTGGGCGTAACCAATCCAACAATTCAAATAAGTGGTTTTAACTGCTCAAGCAAGCTATCAGGTGAACTAGGTGAGCTTACGAGTGAGTTAAACGCTCATGCAAGCTTGTAGGCGAGCTAGGCGAACAACGGAGGTTGTTAGGCGAACCTCAGAAGCGTTCAAGCAAGCTTAGACCCTGTTGGCGAGCTTGTTTCATGCATACGAACCTCCTGCAGGCGAGCTTAGTTCGTGCGAGCGAACTAAGCATTCAAGCGAGCTAATTTGCAAGCTGGCGAACTGAACATTCAGGCGAGCTCAGTTCTTTCTGGGTGAAGTCCACTGCGTAGGCAAACTTCGCTTCGCCTACGAAGTCAAGCATTCAGGCGAACTTGACTTAGCTTGTTTGATGCAGGCGAACAAGCCAAATGGGCTTTGTTCTTGCGATCTTGAGCATGTAGGCGAAGTCTTGCAGGCGAACTTCTCAATTTTGGCATAACGGTAATTTTTATTGCCTACAATAACAAATGTTATAACTCCATATTATGGTTAATTTAGATAAAAGTTAAGATGATCTTCATGTATAAATCCTTGTTATGGTTAATGTTATAACAAAGATTACTAACTATTAACATTTTATTGTTATAATCCAAGCTCTAATAGTTAATCATCTTTGATATAATTCTACTTCTAACTTTAATCCTAACTGTAAAATTAATCTACAGCGAACAAAAACTTAATGCTAGTAAAATGCAAACAAATATCATCCTCTCATGTTAGACTCTTGGGGTGTGTTTGGCAACTATGAAAAACTGGATCAAAATCAATTTTGACCCTTACCCTAAACCAATTTAGAGTTAAATCAAGGAGAGGGTGGTCCAACAAAGAACCAGTTTAGATGCTCTTTTTTCTCTTCAGAAACTGGAGCTAGTTCTAGCCTAGTCTTTCCCAAATAG